AGTAGTAAATTGCACAGCAAAACAACAAGGCTCCGGCTTGTTTTATAAACGTTACCATGGATGCCACAACACAACCATTTTGACTAACGTGCAAATATGCCGTATAAAATAGTTGTATAAACGTTTCAGCAACAGTTAAAAATTTGCCCTATAAGGTGTTGTATACCTATGCTATAAGAATATTTTAAACACCTCATTTTAGAGCAAATATGTTGCAGAAAGCAAATTTTCATTCCATACAACATTAAGCCAGCATTTTGGTGTTCAGGCTACAACAATAGAGAGCTTTCATGGCTGAACGGTTATTTTACCAAAAGCTGATAACACTACTTTGCTGGTTGGGATCCTTATGAAGTGAGTACTGTCTCAGCTGTAACTATTTTATCCGATTGTACACATTTTTTTTTCGAAATATAGCTTTCAATTAAGGTAAGTACTTATATTTTGAAGGTATCCAATTTATTGAACGTATTGATCTATGGGCTACGCAGAAGTCGTTAGGGTAATATTAATTTCGTAAGACAAAATCTGTGTTCTTGAACATGTCGCAAAATACATGGAATAGTTTAAGTGAAAGAGTTGTATCTTAATTGCGTTTTTAATATCTTACGTGTGTAATTACTTCACACGCATAAATTACAGTAGAGCGTGTAAGAACAGGCCACTTTTCATTTTCTGTTATTGCGTATAGTCCGGATGACTTCTGTACAAATACAAATATTCATAAAATACTCACTGACTACGTCATCTAGATTACTCCAATGGTTTTTTAATATTTGTACTTGATCCACCACGAAGGCCTAAGGCCTGAGCACCCATGGGTCCTTGGGGATATAGGGGCATACAGGGGAAGGGAGGATACCACACGGACTCTAGCGAGGGAATACGTGTGCATTGTCGCGTGCCAAAATTACATAAACTTTTCTTTACTATTTTGATCACTTACTAGTAATTTGAATTTCTGTTTAATAATAGCAGAGTGCCCATTCCTAGGCCAAATCCTTTTCAGTGATTTATTTGGTAAAATTTCTTACTTTATTGATTGTATAATTTCACACGTATTATATCTTTCTTTCTAAGTGATTCATTGTGTTGTAAAAAAAAACTTTGCGGTTTTTCTCTGTTACTTGGTGTTCTAACGAACATATCTTCTTTAAGGCAACCTTCCTTTATAAAGTTAGGTGTTTCGTGTCAGTCACTTGTTTCCTGATATTGTGGTGCGCCTCCAGATTCTGGGATATGAGGTGGCAATCACCAGTTTGTGGAGTAGTAGTCATATATGTTTTAGCATGGGTGCTACCCCGTCCATTTTCTTACAGGATTTTAATCTTCAGCGGTAATCTTTCTTTCTTATACCATCGGACTACGTGCATTAACGCATATCCTGAAGCAGTTTGTTCAATGTCTGCTTCCTTTTAGTGGGAAGGCATTGCGGTGAAACACCACACACTCCAGCTTTGCTTGTAGCTGTCTTACAGCTGGTATTGCCGAAAACTACCTCCTCCCCTTAGCTAAAAACGCTAATAAGAACAGGTAAAATATCATTTTAATTAATTATTTTATAGATATTATTCATATATTGATTATTGCTGACTGAAATTCTTAGAGTGTACTTGATTTTGTTTTGTCATTTCACGTATTTAAATATGGGGCAGTGCCTATTCGCCACCCTCTTTTAGGCGTTACATTACATTGATCAGGATATTGATTTTCGAGCTGCCATAACTTTATTTTAAGTTATAAATTTCTGAGGGTATATCACTTTAGTACATTTTTTATTTTTTTTTACCTTCGCAATAGGTACTTTTCTTGCAAAAAAATGTACATGGTTTTTCTCCAAGTTTGACTGTTTTCACTGAGTAGCTTTGTCTCAGACAGAGAGTAGAATAGATTTTCAAGCAGACTTTCTCTCTCTAGGGTTTTTTATGGTCATACCGTAAATTTTGGAGACCGAGGCAAGCATCCTTGTGATGTGCCCAGTACTGGCCAACGTCTTTTTTTTTCTTCTCGACCTGATCTGACCACGCCTTTTTTTTTAAGCAAGAGGAAACGGTGGTGTGATTCTTGTTTCCCTTTCTTTTGAAATTAATTGATGTAATAATAAATAAATCACTATAAATGAAGTCTAAGGGTCGGCCAATGCAAAACAACTCTCTAGATGCGTACAAACTTAGGCCCTAGGTCAATAAGGCGGAGAGTAGGGGGAGTTAAGAGCGCCATTAACTCATGATGGATTAAGCCTGATGTGAATAGGTTTTTTTATGGTCATACCGTGACTTTTGGATACCGAGGCAAGCAACCTTGTGACGTTCTCTCTAGTGGTCACCGTTTTTTTATCTGTAAAGCGTTTACCATGTTGAACGTCTTTTTTTATCACGGTCAAATGATTTTATTGATATTTTTTTTTTAGTAACATCCTTTCTTTTCAACTTTCGGTAGCGAATCATTAATTTGTGCTGTTTGCTGAGGTAATATACAGGGTGTCCGCAAAGATGGGGTTTTCCTTTAAACGACGGGTAGATCTTGAGAAAATAAGCGGATTTTCTTAGTAGCATATACACCAATGTCTCAAGGGAACCGAGATATTGGGTTCCGCAAACTGAATCAAACCTGAACCAAACCGAAGCCGGTCCTGTCCTATCCCTCGATCAAGTCCACAGCGCCAGCGTACAGTTACACGACGCGACGTAGAAACTACGATGAAAGTTCGGATTTTACGACAGAGCCGCACTTGGAATTTCAATTCAACTGAACAGAATACTTTTTCATTTATTTTTTTTTTCTTGTTCGGCCACGTTTCACCACACATTAATTAGCTTTGTTATATCAAGCGTAGTTGTGCCTGGAAAGGAAAGCCCCAACTTTGCACCCTATTGTGAATTTTTTTAATAACTTGTTTTATGTGGCTCTACATGTACTATTAACTAGGTTACGTCATTGCCGTGAGATTATTTTCTTTTGTGTGGGTGGTCAAGCAAAACAAGTTCCAATTGAAACTTCGGGTATTTGTGGCTTAATCAGTCATAAGTCACTGCCGCTCTTAACTGCCCCTACTCTCCGCCTTACTGAGCTTTTTCCATTGGCCGACCCTTACCCTTACTTTATTTATGGTGATTTATTTATTACTTCATTAATTAATTTCAAAAGAAAAGGAAAGAAGACCATTTCCTCTTGTTTAAGCAAAAGGCGTGGTTGAATGCACCATTCACACATTCTGGCACGGCTTAGAGATCCGCCGGGTGGTACCTCCGCGTTCGACAGTCAGAAACCGTCTATCACATTGATAACTCTTGACGAATATTTGATAGGAGTTCAAGAAACAAGCATCGTAGGGGTACTTTAGTTAACGCGCAGAATTATTACCCAGGCTATATTTTATACGCTGCCACAAGAGCATGTAATACGGACTAGTAGTTTTAAATAATCAAAGCTTACATGCGCACCTAGATAAATTTTTTATGATTAATGCCGGCCTACATGCAAACTTAATACGCGAACGCCAACATAAAAAGTTCTAGTGAAACGTGTTAGGTGCAGTTACTGGTATTTATAGCTTTTATTTTCAAGACAGAGCGTTCAGTTGATACGTACTTTGGGGAGAGTCGAATTAGAAGGGTGTCATCAGACACGTAGATACGCTTTATTTTTCTAATTTTTGTTATGCGCAGGCAAAACCCTTCAAGGCCAGAACACCGGGGCTGCTATAAGGATCCCAAATAAATTTTGTTAATCCGATTGTTGAACTGCCTAAGGTTAGTTAAGGTGAGAAAGACTTCCGCTTAGAGATTGTTCTACAGTCTTGACACCCTCGGGACAAACGAGCGGTCGTATCGGCCAGTTCTGGATGTACGAAGTTCAACACGGTTAGGATGGTGGGCCGCAGTCAGGCGGAAGCCGAGCGTTGAGCAGCATAGCGATAGAAGAGTGCTAAATCGCCAACGGGTCCAAGGGACTGCCTGTTAGAGAAGGTCGTCGATCATTCGAACAGCCCTCTTCTGGACAGCATCGAGCATAAGTAGTGTAGTTGGGCGGCCACACCCCAAACACGCCAGGAATACTTGAAGCTAGGCCTTGTAAAGAGTGAAGAAATCATGCAGGGGAAAAGCCTATTTTATACTAAATATTCAAGTCGTCGTCCATAACACAAAGTGGCATATCTAATTTTTTCCACTTTTACAGGAGAGCGTTTTAAATATTTTCACGAGATTTGGATTGTTGCTGACAAAGAGGTGTTATTGCTACATAATCGAATTTGTGGGTATATTTGCTTGCTTACATGCTTCCCAAAAATGAGCAACGATTAACCCGTTTTTCATTTTATGTGTTCAAAACTTCGAAAAAAAGTAGATACGTCATTTTGTCAAATTGAAGGGTCGTAGTTCATACGATGAAGACTAGTTACGTACGTGTTATATTAAGTGATAAAAAATCAAAACTCATGAAGCTTAAAGAAAAATATGTTTTATCACAAGACAAAATGGTTACAAAAAGAGGCACAGTGAATATTATGGCGAAATTCAAAGCTATTTAACTCCCTATAGAAGTTAAACATCACTCAAATAATAACGATATAATAACATAAACAAAATTAATCAATTAGTATTTAACCTACTACTCACGAGGAAGATTTAAAGCGAATCTTTGGTATCCTTGTAAACGAACTACCAGTATATCTCCTTCACACAGCGACTTCAAATCCATATATTTTTTTGTAGTTTTTTCTTTGGGTTCTGCACACAGAACTTCGAGGGAATATCTTTCAAATTAGGTTTTTTTTCAATCTAAAAAAGCTATATTCGTGCTGAAGGTGTAGTCAAAAATATAGATACGTCACAGTGCGCATAGTGATAAAATCAAAACTACAATTTTACGATTAAAATGAGATAAGTCCAATATTATTTTGCTACAACTCTGAAGGTATTAGAAACTGACTGAGGCCACTTCCTGATATTAAGAAGCAACCTTTTTTAAGTAATAAAATCGACTTAACTCAATTTTAGTATTTTCTGAGATACGCCACTTGGTGTTAGTGGCGACGAAGTATGCAACAGGTGGAATCTGCGACAGAGACTTGTTTTCAGCCAGTCACAAATGCTCAAATGCTCAAGCACTGTTTGGTTTTACGTTAGGAGAGTCTAAGTAGAAAAGTTAAATATAAATGACACGTAACTTAATTGCAGTGGTGTCAGGGATGGAACATGGAGATAATGAGGTTAACTTTTTAGTTCATGAAAATGTCTGGAACTTTCATGTTCGAAGTACTTTACTGACACATGTTTTTTGGTAGTAGTGTATCAACCCAGTCGGTTACCTCCTCCAACAAAGACATGAAAAATGATTATGGCTGCCTTGAGTACTAAGAATTCAGGACGTGAACTAACTCCACTCCCAGAATATTCGGATGAACGGTTGCCTCGAGGGAACAACATCGATTATGAAATTAAATTATAATACGCTACCTACCTGCAAGCCAATCGTCGCACCATGCTTTTCTTGATTTGGAGCGACCGATTAATCACCTTAGCTTCCCAAATCATGAGGAGTACTCCATCCTGAGAAAGAATGGGAGACTTGTAGCTTCGTCTCAACTCCAAAACATCCTCCAAATTTATTTGCTGCCTTTATCGCTCTCCCTCGAACCATAACTGGGATGACCTACTTGAATACCTTGTTGTCAAGATCGACTACCTGAGCATCAATTACCCCGCTTCAGGGGTAGTTCTCCCTAGTGATGTCAATGTCCATAATGAGCTTTGGTTGGGCCCAAACAAGATCGATGCAGCAGGTCATGCAACTGAAGCGTTCGCTATTACCCAAAGGCTGACCCAGCTGGTGACGAGCCTTACTGTTTCCCCGCGTTTCGTCACATGCCAGCAGCTTGCTGGATCCTTTTCTGACCACACATCCTGTTCCTTACAGCTCGGTTGTCCTGTCTCCCATGAGTAACTCAGGTCACGGTACTGTGAAAGTTAGGTTTAGGTCAAAAACCTCTCAAGCAGCTGAATCTCGCACAGGCTGCAAAATTTGACATTACGGACATGCGGACTGGGAGAGACTCAGAGACTTCGTCTCCACCTTCCCTTGGAGAGATGTTTGTATCGCTAACGTGGATGAGTCGGCTGTCTGTTCGTCGATAACGGAAATTACCCACGATGGGATGGAGGAATCAATCGCCAATACAGTGAAGGTGCCAACGGCTGGTTCAACAAATTCTGCGTCACTGCTCGCCAACAGAATATCAAGGCACACAGAGCCTTACAAAACCCCACTGAGAGAATAGACAAACCCAGGTCGAGTCCAGAAACAAATATAACGAGCAGTTCGCAGCGACATAGACCAGCATGATATAAAAGGTGGGTGCAGGGTAATGTCGCAGCCCAATGACGATCAGTCTTTCTGGACGCTTGCCAAGCAGATTTAAAGGAACTTCTCTTCCATCAATTACATGCCGCCAACTTCACTGTGGATGTCGCCCCCAACCAACGCTCAAATTTCTTCTGTTAAAAGGGAAGTACCATTCTGGCACAAGACCGTAAGACATCAACAAAGCTTCTGGTCCGGACTGCCACTGTATTGAAGAAGTTTGGTATAGTGAAGCTTCCTCCAGTTCTTTCGCGTCTGTTCCAGATATCTGACGGATCCAGAAAACTGGAAATTTGCTCATGTCGAACCCATCCCAAAATGGATGAGGTCCATATATCATCAACTTCTGTATCTAAGTCGACTTCAACGTATGAGATAAGAACTAAAATCAATTTGGCAAACCACTGTTATGTGGAGATCGTTATATGTTTACCTACTTTACTACAAGAATGAGAAAAGGACGTGGTAAAAGACGTGACTCACAATTTGACAGAGTGCGCCACCTTCACCATGCTTATGATAGCAGATCACCATTAATTTTCATCAGAGGCAATATGAAAGCCCGACGCTATATTCAGGAGGTAGTGGAGCCTCATCTTATTCCATACCTAAACACCATCCAAAACCCGATTTTTAGGCAACACGTTGCCAGACCGCATGTTGCCAGAATATCGTTAGCTTTCATGGATCAACATCGCATCAACCGTTTACCTTGGCCTCCACGATCGTCCGACCTATTTCCAATTGCACATGTCCCAGACTTTATTAGCTCTTACTCACTAAGTTGCAGTAGCCTGGAATGAGATACCTCAATAGGATATCGACCACCTTATCAGCACGATGCCCATTCATGTGGATGAGTGTATAAGAAATCGTGGATCCTCAACAGATTATTGAACCAGCTTCTGCAGGCTGAAAATTCAATAATTGTACTAGTAAGGGACACCGAACACCGACTTTGAAGCTGAGTCATCAATTTTCAGATAATGATTGTAGAGGGAAGATAAACCAAAATATGTGTGTAAAAATAAAAAATAAAAATAAACAAATGTTACCTTGTTTTATAAAGTATCCTGCCGACAAGTATTTCAGTACGGACCTGTATTTGATCGTGCGGTCTTGGAGCACCGGCATGCCCTCCCCTGTGAGGTCTTAAGTCACCTGATTCACGAGCCCTTTGTACTACGTTAACAAAGGCACGAGAGGTTGGTTGCACTAGATTGGGAAACCGATCCGCATAAATCCGTGATGCCACGGCAGCATTTTGTAAAGACGCAACAAACACCACTATTCACTCACGCGTTACCGACTTACACATTGACTAAATACAACTGGATAAAATTGTAGTAAAAACATCGTGATAAGCGTTTCAAATTCTTTCGCTTTTTTGTTTCCAATGCGACGAACCGATAAGGCGGATTATATCCGTTGTCGCCAAACACGAGCACATAATATTATTATTGAGACAGGGCTGTACTCAAACTTCTAAAGGGTTATAACTTTATTAATTTAATTTCACCAGAAAAATGTTAAAGGAAAAAACATTTCTTTTGATCAGATCTACTCACTGTTAAAATAAATGACTCAACTTCGAAGTATATGCAAAAAATATACGTGGGTGTTTACTTTTTTTTGTCGCTCAGTATATTTTGTCATCTGAAAATCAGAAAAACGTCTTTGGTAACTGTCGGATATCCATCATATCCCTTGTATTAGTACAACTGGCAGTTTTTTGTCATAGTGCTACTTAGCTACAAGAGGTAGTTTGCTGAACGACGTGTCGCTGAACGTTAACGCAGAAACGTCGAGATGATGGAATGCCCTGCGTTCACGGAAATGAAAATGTGCAGCACTTACCACGGATAAAAGAAATCCAGTCGCGAAAATTCAACCACTTTCTGTTCTTGTCATCAATAATGTATGTCTATACGGCCTTCATCTCCGATAAGTCGTGAGTGTCAAGAAATAAAAATATATCACGGACATAGTGCAGTCACTGCAAGAACCTTAACTGGGAGTGATGCAAATTAGTATTGAGGTGAGTTTTTTTATTTATTTATTGGCTTAGGGCACCAATACGTTCAGCTACAACAACGTTACAGCAGCATACAGTGCGTAACAAAAGTTTGGAACACATCGAATATCTCACGAATGACTCTATTATTTTTCTTTAAAATTTACACATTTTATCCGATATTTGTGTTCTGCGAGAAATTCTGTATATTTTTTATTACACATACTGTGACACAGACATAGTTCATGGTCAAACATTAATATGTAAACAATAAATGGTATCTTTTTCACATAAGCAATTACTGGCATCGAAACTAATTTCCTGTCATTTTTGACATTTTGAGTTGAATAAGATTTGTTAGTTGTTGAGAACGATTCATTTAACTGAAACAGAGAGAATAGAAATTCTAACGATTCTGCACAGAGCAAGAAATTTGCGATATTTTTAATGACATATCCCAACCGCAATCCATTGACAGGGTACTCGGGAACGTTTTGATGGAATTTGAAATGACAGGACATGTTAAAGATGTTCCGCGATCTGGCCGTACCGAAACAGCCACTGATAAAAATAAGACTTCGATTATTTTAGTGAGCATATCTGAAAACCCCCGCCTTGGTGAAGATAACAATACATGTCACATGTCTGTAGAACGCATTTTAAAGACGGAAAAATTCCATCCTTACAGAGTCACCTTGGTTCGAGAGCTATCAGATGATGATTTTAATAGGCGCTTACAATTTTGTGAGACCATGACGGACATGTGTAATAGAAATGAACACTTTTTGTACAAAATGTTCTCGGATGAGTCAAGTTTTCCTTTGAACGGAACTCTCAATCGGCATAACATCATACATAATATCCACAAAAAATTAATGTTTGGGCTGGTATCATAGGTCAAAGGATAATCGGTCCGTTTTTCAATAAAGTAAATTTAAACGCTGAAAGACATTTGCATCTTTTGAGAAATCATGTTGTCCCAGCTTTGGCGAAAATATATTCCAATACTTTTGAGTAACTTTTATTACAACAAACAATAAATAATATCGATATTATTTTCTTTCAGTAAGTAGTAGGGTGCCCAACGATAGAATATGGTTTCAACAAGATGGTGGACCTCCGCATTACCCTCGAAATCTTCGCTAGTTTATGGATCAAACATTTTTTGGAAGATGTATAGGTAGAAGAGGAACGATTGAATGGCCACCTTAGTAACCTGACCTCACACTCCTTGATAATTCTTCGTGGGGGCACATAAAAAATGTATTATACAATACCAAATCATTTGATTTGGAGGAACTTAAGCAGCGAATAGAAAATGAATGCAGAAGAATCAAGGAAAGCGGATGTCTTCAAAACGTTCTAAACGCATTTCCCCGATATCTAGCTTATTGCCAAAAAGTACAGGACGGCAATTTAAACATTTAATATGATTTTTATCTTGTTTTGAAGCTTAAACTAATAACTAGATTTTATCATTTTCTTTGTTTTTGATTGTTCTCTTGTTTCCTTGGACTATCAAATACACTGTTTTTAAATATTTTATTTGAATATTAGAATTTCGATCCTCTTGGTTTTAGTTAAATAAATCATATTTTTATTAACTCTACTAACTAAACTCAATGGAATTTTTGATGTCATAAATGACAGGAAACTATTTTCCACACCGCTAATTGTTTAGGTGCAAAAAAATACGGTTTATTCTTATACAAATATCGGATAAAGTGTATAGCATTACATAATAAAAACTGTCGATTTGGCAACAT